TGGCCATTTTAGCCATCGGGCTTTCTTGCGCAAAAAATTAAGGTGCCTGTCTACACTGGCAGGAGCGTGAAAGTATTAGTGCAAGAAACACTGATTTTGTACATTACAAAGTCAGTGCTCTTGCGCAAATTCAAGCGGCCAATGTAGACAGCTGGCAAGTTTTTGGGCAAAAGCAAGTGCTTTTGCGCAAAACCTTGCTAGTCTAGATGCAGCCTTAGAGTCCCAGGAAGCACTGGAGAGTAATTACTTTGAATGACCCTGGAGAGTAGTTATTTTGAAATAGCAGCAGTGCAGTGTCCACACTATTGCTATTTCAAAATAACTATAATATAACTATTTCAAAATAAGCATTATTCCTTGTGGAAAGTAGGAGTTATTATTTTGAAATAACCAGCCCCTTATTTCAAAATAACAGGCTTGGTAGTGTGGATGCTCCGCTTGTTATTTTGAAACAAGGGGAATTATTTCAAAATAACTGCCTAGTATAGAGCAGGGCATAGACACCAAAGAAAGTTTTGTTTGCATGTATATTGTGGGATTTACTCCCCCACCTGGAATACTATGATAACTTTGACTTTTCTTTTCAAATACATCTTTGTACCAGAGCATATACTTCTTGTGGGATCACAACCTCCTAAAACATCCAGACATTTGTTGGGAAATACAGCAGGGCACAGACTATCCAATAAGTTCTTAGACTGCATTGGAGACAACTTTTTATTTCAGAAGGTTGAAAAAGCTACTCAGAGGGAAGCTATTCTAGATTTGATCTTAACAAATAGGGAGGAGCTGGTTGAAAATTTGAAAGTGGAAGGCAGGTTGGTTGAAAGTGATCATGAAATCATAGAGTTCATGATTCTAAGGAATGGTAGAAGGGAGAACAGCAAAATAGAGACAATGAATTTCAGGAAGGCAAATTTTGGTAAGTTCGGAGAGCTGGTAGGTAAGGTCCCATGGGAAGCAAGACTAAGGAGAAAAACAACTGTTGAGACTTGGCAGTTTTTCAAAGGGACATTATTAAGGGCCCAAAAGCAAACTATTCCTCTGTGTAGGAAAGATAGAAAGTATGGCAAAGACCACCTTGGCTTAACCAGATGATCTTGCATGGTCTGAAAATCAAAAAGGTATCTCATTAAAAGTGGAAACTAGGACAAATTACAGGGATGAATATAAGCAAACAATATAGGTATGCAGGGGCAAGATTAGAAAGGCAAAGGCACAAAACAAGCTCAAATTAGCTACAGACATAAAGAGTAACAAGAAGACTTTCTATAAATATATTACAAGCAAGAGGAAGACCAAGGACAGCGTAAGGAGGGACAAACAGTCACTAGAAATTTGGAAATGGCAGAGGTGCTTAATGACTTCTTGTTTCGATCTTCTCCATGACGTCTAATGATGAAGGAATGCCTAACATAGTGAATACTATTGGGAATGGGTAACTTTAGAAGATAAAATAAAAAAAGAACAAGTTAAAAATTACTTAGAAAAGTTAGATGTCTGCAAGTCACCAGGGCCTGATGAAATGCATCCTAGAACACCTAAGGAGTGGATAGAGGAGGTATCTGAACCTTTATCTATCATCTTTGAAAAATTATGGAAGACGGGAGAGATTTCAGAAGACTGGAAAAGGGCAAATATAGTGCCCATCCATTAAAAGGGAAATAAGAACAATCCAGGAAACTACAGACCAGTCAGTTTAACTTCTGTGCCAGGAAAGATAATGGAGCAAGTAATTAAGGAATTCATCTGCAAATACCTGGAAGATAATAGGGTGAAAGGTAACAGCCAACATGGATTTGTAAAGAACAAATCACGTCAAACCAATCTGATAGTTTTCTTTGATAGGATAACGAGTCTTCTGGATAAGGAAGAAGCAGTGGACGTGGTATACCTAGACTTTAGTAAGGCATTTGATACGGTCTCTCATATTCGTCTTATCAACAAATTAGGCAAATACAATTTAGATGTGGCTACTGTAAGGTGGGTGCATAACTGGCTGGATAATCATTTTCAGACCCCTGCTGGAAGGGCATAACAAGTGGGGTTCTGTAGGGGTCTGTTTTGGGACCGGTTCTGTTCAATATTTTCATCAACGATTTAGATAATGTCATAGAAAGTACGCTTATTAAGTTTGCAGATGATACCAAGCTGCAAGGGGCTGCAACTGCCTTGGAAGGTAGGGTCATAATTCAAAATGATCTGGACAAACTGGAGAAATGGTCTGAGGTACATAGAATGAAGTTTAATAAGGACAAATGCAAAGTACTCTACTTAGGAAAGAGCAATCCATTTCACACATACAGAATGGAAAGTAACTGTCTAGGAAGGAGTACTGAAGAAAGGAATCTACGGGTCATAGTGGATCACAAGCTAAATATGAGTCAACAGTGGGATGCTGTTACAAAATAAGCAAACATGATTGTGGGATGCATTAACAGGGGTGTTGTGAGCAGGATACTAGAAGTCATTCTTCCGCTCTACTCTGTGCTGACCAGGGATCAATTGGAGTATTGTGTCCTGTTCTGATGGAAAGATGTGAAGAAATTGGAGAAAGTCCAGAGAAGAGCATCAAGAATGATTAAAGGTCTAGAGAACAGTACCTATGAAGGAAGACTGAAAGAATTGGGCTTGTTTAGTTTTGAAAGGAGAAGACTGAGAGGGGACATGATAGTGGTTTTCAGGTTTCTAAAATGGTGTCAGAAGGAGGAGGAAGAAAATTAGTTCTCCTTGGTCTCTGATGATAGGACAAGAAGCAATGGGCTTAAACTGCAGCAAGGGAAGTTGAGGTTGGACATTAGGAAAAACTTCCTAACTGTCAGGGTGGTTAAACACTGGAATAAATTGCCTAGGGAGGTTGTGGAATTTCCATCTCTGGAGATATTTAAGAGCAGGTCAGACAGACACCTGGCAGAGATGGTCTAGACGGTGCTTGGTCCTGCCGTGAGGGCAGGGGACTGGACTCGATGACCTCTCAAGGTCCCTTCCAGTTCTAGTGTTCTATGTTCTATGATTCTGTGAAAACATACCTGTTCACCTGTCTGATCAAGCCCAGGCACGTTGCAGCCAGTTGTGATTGCTGTTCCTCTATCAACAAGTCAGGAAAAGAACAGAACTATGGTTCTTGAGATTAAGCAATTTCAATAGCCCACCTGCTTGATGTTTCACCATTTCTAACCACTCTTTAGTTTATTCTGCTTGCTTAACAACACTTATCTCCAGCATGTCTGGTTGGAGTTAATATCATTTTAATCTTAAAATCTAGATGCAACGTGATCAACTTAAACCAAGAGGAAATGCAAGTGACATGACTAACAGTCTCTAGTGACTGCTGAAATGGCGGTGGTTCCTAGCCAACTGTTGAGTACAGGAGCCAATGTAATCCCATGACAAGCTTCTGGGATGGGAGCTGAGAAGTTAGATTTCTCTTATCAGCTCTTCCTCACTGAGTCATTAAAACTCCCTGTGCTTCAGTTTCCCCATTGTAAAAACTGAGATAAAAGCCAATCTCTGCAGGGCTGCCTATGTGGGGAAGAGGAGAAAAAGGGGCAGCTGCCCCAGGCCCTTTAAATTGACACCAGAGCCCTGTGTGGGACAGTCCGGGGGGTGCTGAGGGCTTACTCACTGAGGAGCAGCAAGGCACTGAGGGCTGGCTGTCCCTAGCCCTGCCCCTTCTATCCAATGTTCCACCCCTTCCAGGGACGGGGAGGGGGAAAGCACTATATAATGTACACATAATTATATTTTTCTGGATAATTTCTGCTAATGAATCTCTGAAAACAAAGTTTAATTAAATGCCTTCTGTCCGGCAGCCTCTTACTTTTCCCCTTCTTGAACTCACTGTAGTAGAAGCATATCGGCCTGATAGTTTCCATACACTGCTACTGCCCCACCGCACATCTACCCCCTCTTCTGTACTTCAATATATTTTAAAGCTCCAGCAAGGGGCTTAGGGAGATGAAGCAGCATAATGTGAAAATGAAATCACATATGTGTAAAAATTTATACTAACCCCATTCTTTCTGGAGTAATGAGCTGAACTTCAGTTGTAATTGGGAGAATCTAAACTTTAACAGCCTTAATTTGAATTGTTTTTGTATAGCTTGCAAAATCTGTGTGTACCAGTGTAACATCAAGAGAAGAGAGAGATTAACCACAGCGTAATAACACCCTTCATCAGTTATTAGGTTAATTCACACGACATGTAACTGAAAATGTGGAAATGGCAGAAGTGCTGAATGACTTTTTTTTTGTTTTCAACAAAAACATTATTGGCATTTGGACATCTGACATAGTAAACACCAGTTAAAATGAAGAAGGATTAGAGATTAAAATATGGGGGAAAAGAAGTTAAAATTTCTTAGACAAGTTAGATGTCTTCAAGATACCAGGGCTTGATTAAATATACCCTACAGTACTCAAATTGCTGACTGAGGAAATATCTAAGCCATTGACAGTTATCTGTGAAAAGTCAAGAAAAATGGGCTAGATTCCAGAGGACTGGAAAAGGGCAAATATCATGCCCATCTGTAAAAAGAGGAATAAGAATAACCTGGGGAATTAGACCAGTCTGATTAACTTCAGTACCTGAAATGTTTAAGAGAAGGTAAGGCAAACACTTCTCAGGAATGATCTAGTGATACGTAGTCCTGACATGAGTGCAGGGGACTGTATTAGAAGACCTCTTCCAGTTCTATGATTCAATTATCTCTCTAGATAGATAGATAGATAGATATAGATACCAACTATACATAGTGAGGAAACCTATGCAGTCAGTAGTGACTCTTAAATCTCTTCCTTTACTCTCACACCTGGATTTAATTAGATGGGACGTTAGCTAATAAGTGATCATTTATGCTGTAGTGAAGGTTTGGGGCAGATGCTGTGTGGCCTCCAAAAGCCTGAGGCAGCTGCTCTGATTCATACTATGGATGGGGTGGCTCTGTTTAAAGTGACAGCATCAACAAAATTGTGAATAGGTCTAACATTTATTTTTTTAATTCACATGCCACATCACTGAGAGAACTTATTGTTTTGAACAACTGCAGTTTATTAATGTATAAAACCAGATCAAAGTGATAGAGCAAGTACATAAATAAGTACCACATCAGGCCCATGTCCTGGGAAGACAGTGAAAAACATGATATTGTGTATTTTATTGTCTTAAGTGACCAGAGACTGTAAAAATGCAAAACTTCATTTACTAAATGGCGCTTATATTTTTTGTTTTTCATAAAGTGTTTATTATACAAATAAATACACAATTTAAACCCCACTTGTTCTGTCACAAACACAAGACTGTTTGTCTTCCCCAAAAAAATACAAATGCTGTACACTTCCCACATAATCTTCATTCAATCAGCTACTGCTACAGACATACTGTGCCGAAAGGTGAGCCATACATAGCCAGGTGTTTGTCTGCTTACCAGAATAATATGACTCCTGAGAATGCCTTCCACTGTGTCCTCATCAGAGATATGTTTGTGTTAATGCATGCCTTATTAGTGGATTGATAATTTAAATTTTTCATTTCTGCAGTCCCTTCCAACCCAAAGGATTGCAGTGTTTTACAAATAGCTGCTCCCACTGCTACCCTGCACGGCACTCACTTCTGATGTGGAACACACAGCTGTTTAATAGTTCACTGGAGCACTACATGCAGTTTTGGATAGGATGTTAACACAGCACCCATTTTAAACACAAAAGAGAATTTAAGGGGCCTAAGACTCATTACCGAATTTGGCCAGGACACTGAAGTTAACTTTTACTCTTATCAGATCATTTATAGGACTGTGCATTTATATCATGGTGTCAGAACCTTGTCTGATTTCTAAATGATTTTACTGATATTACAAGGATTATTTTGTTCTTGCCATTCAAACTGGCTGCTCAAGGAGCCCTCTTCTGCCACACTGTTATGAATTTTAGGCCATTTGGGGCACTGACAGGGAAGGAAATGCACTAAAAAAATCTGTTCCCTATCCTGGCATGGGGGATATTTTGGTCTTTGCAGGCAGAACCATGAAGATTTTCTGTGTAGGAAATTCTGGGTTTTCTTCTCACTCTCATATCCTCACTTAGTCTCCCTCTTCCTCCCTATCATATTCACCTCAGTCCCCTCTCATTCCCTCCTTGTTCTTAGTACAGATGACCTTTTCAATACACTGCTACTGGCTGTTGCAAGAAACCCTGGCAGGGATTGATCCTGCACCGCTGAAAAAGCGGTAAAAGAGGGTTGCCTCTTAGGACCACAGCTGCTATCAGAAAAAGGTGCAAAGAAATCATGACTGTGAACAAGGCACTGCTAAAAAGTTTAATATTTCTTCTGCTGTTGGAGCCAGAGTTGGGCTACTGGCATTAAGCACTGAACATCCAGGACCTCTAACCTCTTTATTAAAATGCACATACCCCAGATGAAGACCTAGAATGCCATCACTGGAAACACAGGGCAGAGCAAAGAGCGTAAGATTTGCAAAGTCCCATGGGGATCTTCAAATTCTAGCTACTGTCATTTATGTCACTCCCTGTGAGGACCAAGTGCCTCGCCTGAGGCCTCTTCTTTAGAACTTCATTTCCTATTGTGTTTGAACAGCAGTGTCCCCGGGTGCTTCTGGAATGGAAATGGCGGGAAAGCAGTCACTGTCAGTTGCTTCTCAGGAGTGAATTTCCTCAGACAAAGCCATGTTTTCAAAGTAATGGCCTTGTGTATCAGAACAGAACTCTTTTCTGAAGGCAGACACTGGTCAGATGCTAAGGTTCACCTGTGAACTGCAAACCACACGGAGTGCCTTAATTTTCTTTTTGCATAAAGATAATGGTCTTGTTGGTGCTGCATTGAGTGGCTTGACATAAGTGCTCATAATTTTGCCATTGGAGAGATTTGCCCTCAAAGTTACGCTTATTAGTTTGCTGGGACCTGAGAGGCCCTCAGAACCCTCTTATTGCAACAATTACAATTAATAAATTAAGTGATATCAAAAGATATTTAACAAATTATTAATCGCCCTGGGTTTAACCCTATAGGAATTTTCATAAATGATCTAGTATTCTGCATTCTCCTGTGATGTTACTTTGTAAAGGCAGCTTATTGACCAAGGCTACATGTTAACAGGGCCCATGAGAATGCAGTATGGGGCAACATGAGGAGCTGACATTTCGTACTTCATGTAGAGAAGTGGATAATGGAAACCTAGTGAAAACCACTTAAAAGTTAAACAGTTTCTCAAATTGCTACATAAATGCATTAATTCCTACTAACACCTTCTGGTCTGTTTATGTACTCAGAGTTTGTTCAACTGCAAGGCATCATCCCAAAGCAGTAGGCTGGTTGGGAGTTTTCATTTAAATCTGGATTTTATGGCTCAAACACAAGTATTGTGTCACTTGTGTTTTTTCTCCTTACTAGAAAAACAGGCATTTCAACACCCAAAGTGGTATAAACTCAGTACAGGAAATAATATTCTCCATAGCTCCTGCACAGTTATTAGGTGTCCTTCATTTCATTAGTTTCAATCATTTGCCAAGTTTAAAAAAAAAATCTGTTTTTCCTTTTTACCCTGTAAAGATATGCAACTTTACAAGAAACTACAGTCTCCCTTTCCCTTCCCCCACCAGTAATACAGAGCCTCCTAGTCTTTTTGAGGAGATATTTAAATGTTTGACACAGACCACTACACATAAAGCAGCAAGTTTGCTGTGCATGATGTGAATAATTACTGCATTATAGTTTTGGTTTTTAGGGCAACTGTTGACTTAAGCAAAATAAGCCTGCAGTCCAGCTGCAGATCCAAGTTTTCATAAGTTTTCTTGTTTTCTCCCTCCATTGCTGTCTCCTTTAACAGTGACCCTTTTCAGACTTTTCGAGGTACAAAACCTTTACCAAATCCTCCAGCTCAGTCCTGCACGCTCTGCTTTCACACATTTGGCTGAGCTGAGTTTCTCCCTCGCTAAATATTTTCCACTGGCCTGAAAGCAAAAACACAAAGCAGAGAGACACTGGCTTAAGACAGAGTGCAGGGAGCATTAGAGTCAAAGCACTAACCAGCTGTTGATAGGGAGAATTTCAAACCTTCCATAGGAAAATATTTTAGACATCTCAAGCTCTGAGTATATTCTTTGCAAAAGAACTACATTAAAAGAACACGAAGGGCCAGATTCTGATTGGGGAAGATAGGGAAAAGAGAAATCTTTAGTTTGAAGGTGCTGGCTTGTAATTGCAGCATACTCTCAAGAGTAATTCTTTCAACAGCTGCTGTTGCCCTGCAACAGTGGAAGTTCAAGCACGACAGCAACTTGACAGTGCAGATGATCTGGAGCATAAAACTGATCATAAACAAGTGAAATTGGGAGGTCAAGTTTCAGAGCCCAAGCTGGGTGAAATACAAAATATAAATTGCACTAGTAGCGAAATATGAATCTGATTTTTTTTTAAAGTCAATTTTTAATAATTCAAGGTGTCACTAGGAACTTCAAAAATACATCTTTTAAACATGACTGATGTTAAAGTAACCCTCTAATCGCATGTTGCATTCTGATTATTTTATTTGATACTCTCAAACTATTGATTCCAGATGTTGTTGGGAAAGTAGCACATTTATTTCAATTGCAGGAGCAATGCAGGCCATGTTTCAAAGTGAAGGTTAGATGGGAAAGTGGAGCCTGAGGAGACCAAGACCTTTACTTACTCAGAGTTGTTCTTGTTATCTGCTTGAAGTAAGGAAGTTCTTCAAATTCACTTTTGGATATCTTCTCAGTGTGGAAGTGATGTAGAATCCCTGCAGCAAAACAGTAAGAGCATCTGTTCAGGGGCGGGCAATCATTTTTAATGGGGGTCCACACCAAGATTTTGGTAAGAGGTCAAGGGCCACATTCTATGGAGGGGGTGCAGGGTCTGGGACGGTGGATGGGGTATAGAAGGGATAAGGGACATGAGGTTGGGATGCAGGATCCAGGAAGGAGTATGGGTGCAGGAGAGGATTCTGGCCTGGGGGAGGCATGTAGGAGGGGGTGCAATAACTGGGAGGGAGTTGTGACCTGGAAGAAGGGGAGAAAAAGGGGGCAGAGGGTTTGGGTGATGACCTGGGGCAGGGGAATAGAGTGCAGGGTCAGGGAGGGGGCATGGGTGCAGGAAAGAATTCTGGCCTGGGGGAGAGATTTAGGAGGGGTGTGCAGGTCTGGGAGAGACCTGGAGGATGACCTGGAGGATGTGGGGAAAGGGGTTGTGACCTGGAGGATGTGGGGAAAGGGGTTTGGGTGGTGACCTGGGGAAGGGAGTTGCGGGGAGAGAGGGTGCCAGAGACAGGCTTTGGCTGGGAGGTGCTTACCTTGGTGGCTTCCAGCCAGCAGCCCTGCAGGAACCTGAGACTGGCTCCATGCCTGTCTGCTGGGCTGGATGCTCCACATGGGTTTGCTCCAGCATGAGGAGGGAGGAGTGAAGAGGCTTTGCTCACTGGCCCTGCCTCCAAGAAAATTTCTCAGCTCCTATTGGCTAGAAACTGGTCAATAGGAGCTAAAGGATTTTGCCAGTGGGCAGGGACAGCACACAAAGCCTTCCCGTCCTTCCCCAGTGTTCCGAGCAATTAGCAGCCACTGTTTAAAGCAGAGCTGCTATATCTAGTAAAGGTGCCAGTGAGGTGGCCACAGGTTGGATCCAGTGACTTTGTGGGCTGGATCTGGCCCGCTAGCCATCTCTTGCCCTCCCCGATCTAGTTGGAAAAAGCTCCTCCGCTCTGAGCATGTTGTGGTTGTGTGCAGAATTATTGGCATGTTGAGCCACGTTGTGATATCATCTTTACCAAGATGACAACAGTCCCAGCTAAAGAGAACAAGCTACAGCGAGAACCTTTTAACCGATTCCGTGTGCTCCATCAGTATTTTTCTTTTGCGGTTTTACAATGGTGGAGAGTCTCCCCAAAATCTGAGAGTGAGTTCCTTCTCTGCCCACATAGGTTTACCTCTACCTGGTGTGAATGAAAGAGGACCAGAGCAGAGGCCAAATTCCCAGTGCCTTGGAAAAAAGCAGTTTGGCATGTTGACACTGGACACTGTCTTTTGTCTAATTGCAGCCAGCCAGTAGAACATGCTGCTGCCAAGCCACCAGAAAGATTTGTGTCTTACTGGGAACGTAGGCTAGTATTAATCACCTGCCCTTCAGAGGGCTGTTCATAGATCACGATCTGGGTAACCTTAAGTGTAGTTTGCACTTTGATATGAGCTCAACAATTTGTGAAGCGTCTTTATAAAAAAAGTCAGAGACTAAAACCATTGAGTTGGCAGCGACAGTCTCAAAGCAATCTGTAAACAAGCCTAGCAATGCCCCAGTCCATGAAGTAAATCTATACTCTCCTTTTACAGAGAGGGTAAAGCGAAGTACGAAAAACTGAACGATTTGTTGGAGGCCACACTGTGTGAGTCAATGGCAGAGCCAGGAATAGTACCTAGAAGGCTTGACTCCTGTGTCTGTCTGTCGGCTTGCTCTGACTCTGGGACAACAGTCCCAGCTGAAGAGAAAAAGCTACAGCGAGAATGAATGTACAACTCCTTTAATATTTGGCATGTGCACGAAGGCATTCTGAGATGGAGTGTCATCACTTCGTAAATGTCTTCATGTAAAGGGCCTTTGAGAGGCAGTTGTAAGAGAAGAAGGGAAAAATAACATTGCCTCTCTTTATAAAATGAATAACAGATCTATTTACGCCCACACTTCTGGCACTTCCTCTTTTGGTTCCCCACTTGTATTTTTTAATTAAACTGAAATAATATTCATTAAGTAGCTCCACTCTTCCCAAAGATTCCTTAAGCTTTTTTTTTCTTTCAGTAAAGAATTACTATGTCCACTTTGAAATGCAGCCTCCTCAGAGATCATATACTTTTTTAGAATACATAGTGAAACAAATACTCTATTATAGTGCATAGCAATATGACACAAGTTCAGATTCAACTAAAAAGCCAAGACCTGCAGGGAAGTTTGGCATTTATTTGAGATCTAGCGTCTACATCCATAAAACTGAGTTAGCTGAAGTAAAAACTCAGGCTTTATTTATTTGCAGTACATAAAAAACTGAACATCGAAACCCTTCAGACATTCAGGAGTTTGGACAATTGAAGGGACTGGCCTGAAAGCGGTGGAAGTCTGTGCTCAGGGTTAAGACTAGAGCTGGCCATAACGTAGATTCTTTTCCATCCACAGAAAATTAAGAGTTTTCAGAGAGTAATCAAAATCTAAAATATTTTGGTCAAAATCTGAAGAATTTTGATGCTGCAGCACTGCTACAATCAGATTGCTGGAAGAATTTGTACAGTGGGACGGCTGAGAGTACCAAACTAAATCCTGCATATAATGGAAACTGTTTCAAGTCAGGGGATGCGGCAGCACCCTTAATTCCAGAACCTATGTCTATGGTGTTTCATGGGAATTGTAATTTATGAACTGTGTGCACCTGTTCCCCTTGGCTGTGTCCAGACTCAGGGGTTTTTTCGGGAAAAGTAGCCTTTTTCCGAAAAAACTTCACCTGCGTCTAGACTGCAGCCGCGTTCTTTCGAAATTAAATCGAAAGAACGCGGCTTTTCTTTCGACGGCGGTAAACCTCATTTCACGAGGAAGAACACCTTCTTTCGAAAGTGCTTCTTTCGAAAGAAGGCGTTCTTGAATGTAAATAGGACTTCTTCGGAAGAGAGCATCCAGATTCACTGGGTGCTTTCTTTCGAAAAAGCAGCTTGCTCTTTCGAAAGTTCCGCGTGCAGTCTAGACGCTCTCTTTCGAAAGAGGCTTGCAGTCTAGACATAGCCCTTTATAGGCTAGGCTCTATATCTCCCATGATGTGCTATGGTCTCTCTCTTTTTCTCTCCCCTTTCCCCCACCATAAGAGTGTGTTTTCATGGCGACGCAGAACTGGCTAGTGTGTGCTACTGCCCTCTATTGGTCAAAATCAGAACTGATCCAACCACATATGATATACCCCATACTGCTAACAACAAGGGAGTTTGGCACTAGTTTAAACAATGTGTGCTTTTGTAGTAGGCGGATTGAGTTGTATCTCTGCTGCCAGGGAAGTGCGCCAAATGCCCCAATGTAAGGAATAGGAATAGCTATAAAGTCCTGAGTTGGAAGAATTTGTGAATCTTTCCTGAGGTTATAAACAGAAAAAGAGGGAACTCGATCTACTTACCTTTCCTAATTGTCCACACATGTATTTCTATTTGAGGTGGCTTTTCTGTTTCCATAGCAATTTTTCTAATGGTTTCTCCGACCTCCGTGAAAACAGATTCATAGACAGGAAGCATCTCTTCACCACAAAAGTAATCTTTGCTGTCAAAGCTCTGACTTGGCATCTCTTCTGTAAGCAAAGCATGATACAGCTTTAATAATGGCCCACCAGACTTACTGGACTTGTGCTGCCCAACAAGTTTAGCTTAATTGTAGATAATTCCTCCAAACTGGTCTTTCAAGTCCTTCTCCAGCCAAGTCCAGGCTTTTTAGTGTAATTCTGTTTTGCGCTCCTTTTTTTTTAATGCTCAGATCTGTAAAGAATTTCGGCTTTTAGTTAGTATGTTTTATCATAACCTATACAAGTAACTGACTTTGAGAAAAGATTCTGCTTTTTTGATAGCTGGGGGTAAGTTTCAAGAGGCAGAGAATGGTCTGCAATCTAGATACCAAATTCTTTACTTCTATAGCATTTTTCACCCAAGGTTCTTAGCTAGATTTTTCTGAGTGCCCTTTCCCCCTATTGACTTCAAGAGGAACTGTGGGTGCTCAGCATGTCTACACGCCAGGCTCTGACTTCTTTACTTATTCATTGAATTAAGCCTCACAACACTCCTATAAAGAAGACAAGTATCACCCCCATTTTACATACAGAATGATTGAGACACAGGGCAGTTAACTGAGTCTTCTTAGGTCATATGAGTCAAGGACACAGCTAGGGCTTGAACCTTGCTCTCCTATTTCCTAGGATATTGAACCAAGCTGCCTTCCAATAAACCTAGCTAGCACATGCTTTGTGAGTGATTTATGAATATGGTTCTGATACTTGTTTTCTTAGGGTGGTGTCTAGACTGACATGATTTTGCACACACTGGACGTGAGTATTTGTGCAAGAACACTGACTTTGTAATGTACAAAATCAGTGGTTCTTGCGCAAATACTCCGATGCTCCTGCTCAGGGATAAGCCCTCTTGCGCAAGTATTTTTGCGCAAGAGGGCCAGTGTATATAGCCATTTTAATTTCTTGCGTAAGAAAGCCCGATGACTAAAATGGCCATTGGAGCTTTCTTGTGCAAGAGACCGTCTACACTGGCACGGATGCTTTTGCACAAAAGCAAATCTTTTGCGCAAAGGCACATGCCAGTATAGATGCTCTCTTGCGCAAATACTTTTAATGGAAAAACTTTTCTGTTAAAAGTATTTGCGCAAAATCATGTCAGTCTAGACACAGCCTTAGAGTATTTCTGCCAGTGTGTTTCAGAACTAAACACAAAAAAGGGGCTAAAAATGTTGTGGGGAAATTTTAAAGGTACAGATAGGAATTAGGCACTTGGCAAAACATCATAACAGGGGTTGGCAGATTTCTAAGTAGCATATTTTTACTAATATCCTACAGCATGCTAATCAAGTAATTATATTTTCTTACAATGCTAAGATAAACTCAGATTGCATTAGTGTTTATACTATGGACCCAATTCCATTATCAGCAGAAAGAACTTTAGGACCAAAACTTTATAATCTTATTGCTATGTCAGGGGTTAGCAACCTTTTCAAACCAAAGAGCCAAACTACATCAAAATTCAGAACAAATGGTCAACAAAGAGCCAAATAAGATTGCCCAGTTGCATGACTGAAAAGATACAACTTAATATTGATAATTGATCATTAATATGATCAATAATAGCATCCATTGTTATCAACAAGGACAAGTGTAGAGTCCTGTACTTGGGACGGAAGAATCCCAAGCATTGTTACAGGCTGGGGACCAACCGGCTAAGTAGCAGTTCTGTAGAAAAGGACCTGGATTACAGTGGATGAGAAGCTGGACATGAGTCAACAGTGCGCCCTTGTAGCCAAGAAGGCTAATGGCATACTAGGTTGCATTAAGAAGAGCATTGCCAGTCGATCCAGAGATGTGATTATTCCTCTTTACTCCGCTCTGGTGAGGCCACATCTGGAGTATTGTGTTCAATTCTGGGCCCCCAATTACAGGAAGGATGTGGATGCATTGGAGAGGGTCCAGCAGAGGGCAACCAAAATGATTAGGAGGCTGGAGCATATGACCTACAAGGAGAGGCTGAGGGAGTTGGGTCTATTTAGTCTGCAGAAGAAAAGAGTGAGGTGGGATTTGATAGCAGCCTTCAACTTCCAAAAGGAAGGTTCCAAAAAGGCTGAAGAAAGGCTGTTCACAGTAGTGACAGATGGCAGAACAAGGAACAATCGTCTTCTGGTGGGAGAGGTCCAGGTTGGATATTAGGAAAAACTATTTCACTAGAAGAGTGGTGAAGCACTGGAATGGGTTACCTAGGGAAGTAGTGGAGTCTCCAACCCTAGAGGTGTTTAAGTCTCAGCTTGACAAAGTCCTGGCTGGGTTGATTTAATTGGTATTGGTCCTGCCTTGGGCAGGTGGCTGGACTTGATGGCTTTGTAAGGTCTCTTCCAGCTCTATGGTTCTATGATTGTTCTATGATCCATGAAACATTTTACTCACAGACTTTATTTAATGGGACTTCTGATGTTCGAAGTGCAGTTTGGGGGGGTGTAGGAGCCAAGGTTGGGTTTTATGAGGGGGGTTAGGGCAGAGGGTTGGGAGTGTCACATTCCTGGAGCTGAAAGGCCTAAATCCAAAGGAAGAGATGTCAAACTTCATACTAAGTATTATTACTAGGAAGCTGTGCCCCCTGCTTGCTATGCTTGCCAATCCCCTCTCTGTCTTCCGCAGCTGGATCATGGCCTTCCCTCCTACCTGTGCTGCAGCAGGAGGGGGGCTGCCACCAGCCTTTCCAGCAGCCAGATTGGGGCCAGACCGTGGAGCCTGGTCCAGGATTGGAGCCAGTGACATGATGCTCTGGCCAGGTGGAGGCTGGACTGTGGGGCTTGGCCCAGGATAATAGCTGGGGACAGGATACTATGGCCAGATGGGGGATGGGCAGGGAAAGTCTCCAGGAAGCTCATCTGTGTGCTGCTGTTCCCCTAGCCGGGGGAGGGGAAGGGAAGCAACAGCACCCAGAAGTTGTTTTTGGCTCCACTTCTTCCCCGCAAGCTGGACCGGCGCGGAGGCTCGCAGCTTTCCCCCACAGGAAGCTGGCACTGGCGCTCCAATCTTGTGGGGGGGGGCACCGCGCAGCTGGAGCATCAGCACAAGAGGGAGCAAGGGAGGGCTGAGCTCGAACTGCAAAAGAGCCATATTTGGCTCCCTACTGAGCCATATTTGGCTTGGGAGCCATAGGTTGCCAACCCCTGTGCTATGTTTTGCAAAACAAGCTCTTTTTTATAGTAGCGTAAATATCCCAAGCTAGAAAACAAATAGAAAGCTCTGTGAGAGTATTAAATGGGAAGTATGAGAGAATCTCCTTGAATTATTGTCTGGGAGATAAGGAACTTTCTAGCTGGGAGATATATTCTCTTCTGAAATGGATATTAAAAAGTCATATCAATACTAGACATAAAAGAGAGAGACCAGAATTGGGATCCAATCCTCAGTGTCCTCTACCTGTGGAAATGAAATGAAGGACATGGCTTTCAGAATTGGGTGCTGGATCTAGTCTCTTACTCAGATTTCCCTCTAAAGAAAATATAGGTTGCATAGTTCATTGGGTGTCACCATGACCAACCCTCCTCCCCTTAGACTCCAAAGCCAAAAGACAGTCTGTGATCTAGTCTTACCTGGACAGACTTTACAGCATTTTCCTTCTATTTTTTGAGGGTATTTGCAGGGGTATTGATCTGGGCAATGAATTTTCTTACATTCTTGTTTGGTGATGTTACATGTACACAACACACACTCTACAATTCCATAGGCCCGGAGATAAGGATGCCACGATTCACCATGTGAGTAAGTTTTTCCATTTGAAACACAGACTGTAACAGAATAAGAGAGAGGAAGGAAGGGTACATTGCATGGAAAGGCCTCAACAGATCCATAGTCGAACTACAACCTCAGACTCAGTCCCTGCACGTTGGTTTGAGGCAATGTTTCATTCATGTCTAAGATTCAAACATGGCTAAAGAACGTACCTCTGCTTGAAAGTGTTTTTTCACTAGTGATTTCTGGCTCAATCCCCCACCCATTGAGAAGTTTTGTCACTTACTTCAAAAGGAACTGCATTTTCTGTGCAATTTGGTCTAAGTTCTGGCCTCACGTATCCCTGAGGGGGCCCTGGTATTTCAGTGAGTGAGGTGGGGCACAGGATTTGACCGTTCCCTTCCAGTTTATGTGCATCTTTGCTGGGGACCAGTTGGCTTTTGTGATGTTGGCTCCTGATGCATGCTCCCCCCTCCAAACTGAACTGGCACCTGCCCCAGAATTTCAGCCTGTAACCAGGCCGATACCCCAGTCCCCAGCATCATGGCATCTTCTACTGCATCACTTGCTTGGCTTTTCTTGCCATTAGGTGGACATTGTCCATTCAGGGACATCCATGCTTGCAGCAGGGTGAGCTGTTGCCACCTGTGCACTTCCAGAGGGACTCCCCAGTAGCGGACGTGGACAGAGCAAAGCAAGAGATGTTTAGAAAATGGAATTTGATCAGTTCCAGATTTTTTTTTCAAAACATACTTTGAGAGTTTGTAGATTTATAATTTGTTATTTGTAATTTCAAAAATGAAACAAAAAACCCCAAAAAACGAAAAAGAGGCTTTAAAGTGAGCGGCTGCAGATGATCCTGAAGTATCTCAGTAGACACCCATTACACAGGTATCTGAATGCCTCCAAGTCTTTAATGGATCTGTCCTCACAACACCCCTGCAAGGTAAGGAAGTACAGCAGGCAAAAGGACATTGTGCAAATTAACAGCTGGCAAAATCTGATTCAGTTCACATTGAAGTTAATGGGAATAATGCCAGTTTACACCAATGCTGAATTTGCTATACGAATCTTGCTTCTTTTAACATTTCATAATAGCATTGAAAAAATGCAAGCCAACCAAAAAAGGTGAAAGAAAGGGCACTGCTGATTTCAAAAAGCAATTAAAATCAAGCTTGGATATGCTGTAAATATTTCCAATTCTTCTAATATGTCATCATTTTTATTAATGCTTTTATTTGTAAAATATGTTCCTCTTTTGCCTGTAACTTTCAAAAGCAATTTAATTTTTATTTGTAATCTTAAATTTACATCTAACTGGTAACAGATGTGAGCAACTGGCTTATGTTTATAAGTTACCAAGATTTATGGTGGGTGTTCTTCATAATGTATTGTCTTTCATGGGGGTTATACCATCATTTGGGTTAATAATTTATTACTTTTAAAAATCTTTTTTAAGAGCTGTTTTCATTTTAGAAGGGGAAACAACTTTTCTCTGATAAGCAAATGAAGTGTTCTCTTCATACAGGAACACAATGAGAAAAGGGAAAAGTTACATAAAATGGAATTAATTAATTACTCTGTTGTTATAATTAACATTCTTACATGCTTTACCATTCTAAATGCTTATGTTTATATCATTTTTTTCCTGCCAGAGAGCTCTAAATGGTTTACCAACATAATTTAAGCCTCACAATGTCTCTGTACTGGTATGTTGACTATAGACACGTTATCCCAATTTTGTAGATAGATAAATTGATGCACTGAAAGGTTAAATAATTAGTCCAAGGGACAGAAGAAGTCTGTAGCCACTGTGAAAATAGAACCTTAGCTGCCAAATGGTCCGCTTCAATCACTGTGTATGCAAAGAAATGTAATTCTGTATCCATGTAATGGAAGTGACATAAAGCTACATCTACACTTCAGCTCTTTTCTGGGATACCTCCAGTATCCCAGAAAAGCTATACCATGTTCAAGGAACACGTCCGCTTTTCTGAAATTTTTTTTGGAAAAATGGACTTGTTCTTTCGCCATCCTTGTGAACCTTATTGAACGAGGAAGAAGGGATGTGCCAAAAGATGAGGCTTTTCTGAAATTTGGCGCCATGTAGATGCACCAAATTTTGGAAAAGCCTCTTCTGAAAGAAAAGCGGAAAAAGATATGCAAATTGCAGTTCTCGATTTGCGTATCTTTTTCTTTGTAGTGTAGACATAGCCATAGATTTGATGCCAATATGACAATTTTGTTTATTTTTACATTTTATAAATGCAAAAATAATCTCAGGAAGCATGTGCATTAATTAATAAAACACACTCTAATTGCATAGAACAAAAGAAAGGACATGATCAGCATTCTGATTTCCATTACACAGATCTCTTAGACTCTCTCTGGGCATCAAGCTCCTAGTTATCACTTGAACTAAACCGCACAGAGAAATGTGCTGTTCATTTGTCTGCTTTTTTACTTGCTGAAACAAATCAGTTAGAAATTGCTTTGATGATGTCTTCGTGTGTGAACTGGATGTCAGAAATTACACTGAGCAGAGATTCCTGCTCGTAGCTTTAGCATAAAACACTGGCATGATCTGAATGCATTTTCATGGTTGTTCAGGTGGATAATAAAGATCCTATGGCCAACATTCCTTCTGTTAGCTAATACCTTAAAAGATTAGTTGGCCCTAACTCAAAGGCTTTTAAGTCTTTGTGGGACATTTTTGAGTGTACGCTACTCTGGGTTTTGTGTATAGTTGCTATTCTATAGCTAATTCTTTTATTACTATTTGGGTCTGACCCTGCAGACCCTTATTCACTTAAATAATACCAACTAGGCACTAAGGTCATATCTACACTACAGATAAGACTGAAGCAGCCGCAGTTGATCTTCTGGGATTTGAATTCGCGGGTCTAGTGAAGACACGTAATTCGAACTGAAAGGGTGCTCCCGTCGGTGCCGGTAAACCTGCTTCTATGAGGAGTAAGGGAAGTTGAAAGGAGAGTGTGCTTCCTTCAACTTCCCATACTGTAGATGGCACCAAAATTCAAGTTAAGTTATTTCAACTTAAGCTACGCTATTAACGCAACTTCACCAATTTATCTTAATTTGAATTTATCCCTAGTTTAGACCAAGCCTGAGTGCATTCAGCATCTTGCAGCATCACTCCCTTTTGCCAGGACATAAAAATCTGATGCCCCTTTTAAATTGGGGATTTGATTATTCCTCGCCCCCTTTTTTTTCTTAGTATAATCCTTGAGGAACATGGCTTAGTCATGCTTGTATAAAGGTTTTCCATATGAGCTTGAGGTCCTAATGTTCCCATAATGTAATAAGTCCTGTATGCCTCTCAGAGGCTTAAGGACATATTATGTTATGTTACTGGAATGCTCTCAGTGCTTTATATATACTACATATATCTTTGATATGAAGTTTTGTATTGATCTTTGGGAAACAGAATAAAAGTTAAATGGGGGGGGAGGGGTGGACCTGCTGGCCCAACCACCAGAGAACAGCTTTGTTCAACACAGATGTTAAAGTAGAAGTCCCTTTTTGCTCAGAGATGGGATATTTTCTAGCAAGGGGATGGCTCCGTAAGTTCTGGTCTTAGCAAACATACTGGTAATGTAGTAGGGCTTTGTAGTCTAAGATTTCTGAGGTAGCTTAACCACATGCTACTTGCATTCACACAGGTTACCAAATATGAGAAAGCGTGAAGAAAATAACCCAGAGCAGATTTTTCCATTCTCTGGATGCTAGGCAAATGGGTGTGTGAAGATAGCAGCAGACCCACAGGCATCGACAGTGGTGTCAACTGCTCACCTTTCTCGTCCCACCAGAATAATGTGGTCTTTATACAGATTCATGGCGCACAGCTTCTCAAAGTGCTTTAGAAAGCAATACGGGAGTGCGTGGCTCCCGCATGGCAAATGCAGCAGCCATTGTGTGTCAGACAATTGCATGCAGCCAAAGTAACATTCGAGATAGTCTATCTTTGCTCTCTTTTTGCATTTTTTATTTTCTGACGTGCAGGATTCTGTCATTTGCAAATTTGCAAGGCTCTGCTGTATGTATGAAGAATTCTTTAAGAGCTATCAGGGGCTGAGACCTGACTCAGAGCAGGATCGCTAAGAGCACTTCTCTTTACCTCGTCCATGTTTATGCTTGTTGTTAATGACGATCTGCACTATAGTTCCTGAGGCTTGCTGGGGGTCAGGCAGGACGCCACGATTACTCCTGCCACTGGAAATTCGTGGAATGTTGACCAGCTGTCTAGTGGAGCTGGGTGCTGGATCGTACTGGGAGCGATGGAATGAATGCCTCTGTGTGGAGACAGAAGGAACAAGAATGTAAATGTTTCATTCAAGTGAAGCAATTGGAGAGCTGAACCTTGCATGTAAAGATTAAGTAAATGTCCTGCATTAAGGCTCCCTGTGCGACCAATGTAAGTTTTGCCCCTGATGTCAATGTTGTGCTAAACTTCTTCCTTACCACAAACAGACTCATGCAGGTGCTTGAAATTAACGTGGGTTAAGCTGCAGGTATGTGACACAAACCATTCTAGCCTTCTGCATCCAAACTACATTTTACAGCATCCCCAAATATAGATAAAGTATAGTCCTAGCTGCAAAATGATCAGATGCTGTTTGCCCTCCTGCTTCTCATTTAATTGTAGATGCCAGGGCCACAGACACTCATAAGACCAGATTCAACCATAGTTGCTTAGGACGAATAGCACTTTGTTGGAATCTGGGTCTAAGTTCATCGGCTGGGATGCCTTGAGCGAGTTAGAGGTGAAAATTGCCTGTGCAGTTTTTCAAAACAAAGCACTATGGTTATTTTGGGGGATTTTTTCCTCCGAAATACCCAAAAGCATGGCTGAAGATTGTAAGATTGTTAAAATAGCAAAGAAGGACATTATTCTGAGTAACCCAAAGATTTATCAGAGATCACTGGCATGTATTTATTTTGTGCTCCTAATGCCTAAAAATTCCATGTGCTCTCTCCAAAATTTGTTACAAAAAATCAACACTACTGGACTGAATTATTGATGGTTAGTCTTTACCCAAAAGCAACAACCGGCTTGTGGGCTGGACATGGCTCGCCAGGGTTAGCCCTTGGTGGGCTGCTTCTGCTTTATTTGTATACAGCTGCTTGAAGCTCCTGTTAGCCATGGATCACCATTCCCAGTCAATGGGAGCTGTGGGAAGTTGTCCCTGCCCTAGAGAAATAGCTTGATCTAGTCCTAGAGTGAATTCTTACACCGAAGGAATGCTAACTAGAGACTAAACATGCGGTACTACTATTTAAAAGCAGCGCTCGCATGGGAGACAAACCATTTAGCTAGACGTGCACAAGCATCTGATCCAAAGCCCTTAGGAGACAGTGGGAGGGTCTTTCCAGGTTTTGGATCAGGCCTCCGTTGCACTTAGCCCAGGTCTATGCTAAAGGGGAAGGTCGAATCAAGATCTGCAACTCCAGCAACATTAATGACATAGCTGGAGTCGACGTACCTTGTTTCGAGTTTCCCTGCTGTCTCCACAGCAGGAGGCCAAGGGGAGCAAAGCCTCCCACTGGTTTCCCCTTACTCCTCGCAGAAGCAGAAATACTGGCCACCAACAGGGATGGTGAGAGGAAAGACGGTCCCCTTCGGGTATGGGGTTCCAGTGCTGGATCTAGAGGGACTTCCCTTTCGGTTGTATAAGGTCTCTGAGGCACCCTCTTGAGCCCAGAGTCCGCCAGGTATCAGCTCATGGCAAGGTAGATTTGCTAGGCTCAGCGGTGAATAAGAAATCTTCAGTGGTCTGGATCACTTTAGTAAGCGAGTCGGGGTTATGTCTCTGAACCCATGTTTGAATTGACACTGGTAATATTTTCAAGTATTGGTCTAGGACTATGGAATCAATAATCTCCTGGGCTGTACAGACCTCAGGAGGTAGCCTACAGATGGCCCATTTTTTAAGACAATGGGCTACCATCTGGTATCAAGACCTGGCTCAAAAAGATTCTGAGCAGAACCTATGTCTATAAGTCTCTGGAGATATCCCAGGCTGGTTAAGTACGGTAGTTTTCACTGCTTGAAGATCGGTTGCCCTGTCATCGTCCAGGGCATGGTATGTTGCCTGAGCTTCCCCTGTCAGGAACACTGCCAGGCCAGCAGCCCAGGTGGCTTGTTCCCAACCAGCAGTTGTAGTTACCCATTCAAAAGTATTTAAATAAGTCTCTGTGTCCTCATATAGCCCCAACTTGGCCAGTAGTATCCCCAGCCCTGAGTTCACCGAGTTTGGGGGGGCACCAAGGCAACCAGTTGCTGTAACACTGGCTCTTGAAACTGCGGCTCTGGTTGTTGCTGGTGCTGAAACAGCTCCAGGAGTACATCCTGCTGCTTTTGGGAAGCTTGCTGCACCTTTTGCTGAGCTTCAGTCATTGTTCTCTGTGTCTCAGTTGTGCTGTCGCTGAGACAGCAGCCTTACCAACTCCTCCATAACCCCTTTTGGTCCAGCGACCCCACTCCTGGTACCAATGTAATGGAGCACTACTCAACTTCTGCAAGCGGCTCCCTTTTGGCTGAGTGGCTGCACTCCTTGCTGTGGCAGCCCTCCTGCAGTTCAGCTCTCCAGCCCTGTCTGAGCCTCTTTGGCTCCAAGGAGGAACTGCCTCACTCAGATCCAACAGCTTCCTTTTAACTAGCTTGCTGGGTCCTGATTGGTCACATCCTTTGCACCACTCTATCTTTCCTAGAGGACTTCTCTATGGTTTGTTGGGAAGGGTGTGACAACGTCACAAGTCTCCAGCAGGGGACTTCGGGGCCTGGTCCACCCCATCACACTCCATAAGAAGATTTAGAGGCAACCTGGGTCAGTTACATGTGTGTCCTAGTGCCAATTCACCCACAGGGTTAGAGTCTCCATTGCCCTACACCTGATGTGGTTATTTATAAGGTGGTTGCAATATGCTACTAATCTTGTTAGGTAGCACTCTGCACTCGTTCTGTAGCATTGCAAGTTACCAGACTAAGCAAAGTGCACAGCAATGAAGAGTCAGACCCTTTCACTTTCTTTTAATGTGGCATTTTGTTCTACGATTGTAACTGTTGAATATTGGCAGACACAATAGTATCCCAACAGCTACAGCCTATGAAATACAGCCTACATTTTGCTAAGTACTTACCTGATATTAGCAATGATACATTTTACAACATTTTTACGGTTATATCCAAAGGCTCCCCCTGGCTGTTGCTGAGTCAGAGGCCACCAAAATGTATGTAGAATTTTTGTCTGGCAACAAAATACACTGTGAAACGCAGAAAATAAGCAACATTTCTCCTTCCTCACATGCTGTTTTTTTTTTAAACAAAGGACGCTGGGGTTTCTTTCTGACAATCATTGTGAGAGATAAACTTAAAAAACAACAAATAGTCTGGTAGCACTTTATAGACTAACAAAACATGTAGATGGTATCATGAGCTTTCGTGGGCACATCTGAAGACGTGGGCGGCGCCCACGAAAGCTCATGATACCATCTACATGTTTTGTTAGTCTATAAAGTGCTACCAGACTATTTGTTGTTTTTTAAGTTTATTTTGTACAGACTGACTTGGCTACCCCCTGAAGATTGTGAGAAATATTAGACATCTTCTGGTCACAGGCTGCCATTTCAACAGTCTGTGAGCCAGAAATTATTTTAGAAGAAAAAGTAGACTATAATAAGACAGTGAAAGAGGAGAAGGGATCGCAGTGTGGAGAAGAGGGATTATGAAAAGAGCAGGTGGGACAAATCACTACTTAGGAAACTGAAAGCAAAGTATCTTTTTATGAGAGAGACACCCATTCTGCCCTCAAGAGCTCCAATTGCTCACTGTAGTGCCCTTGACTCCCTAGGGCAGGGGTGTGGAACATATGGCCCAGAGCTAGATTCAGCCTCTGAGGCTCCTGCACTCTTCCTCCTACCCACACCCCAAGCCCACTTCCTGGCAGCCCCCTCCCACACACTGAACCCCTTATTTTAATCCCTGCGAGACCTACAAACTCTACTAGCTTGGGTCCCCAAGGCTTGGGGATCATGTAAGTGATGTTGCGGGTTTTATGCTTCTCACTTTTGTGCAGCCCCCCCAACTGATTTTTTTGTGAGTCAGCGGCCCCAACCCAAAAAAGGTTCCCCACCCCTGCCCTAGAGGCACCTTTCAGTTCAGATAGCCAACATGCAAAGTGTACTGTATGGGTTGCAGAGCATCCCATGCAAACTTCTAGCTAGGGAGCACTACGTTCAGGGCCTGGCAGGGAGATGGGGCTGCAATCTACCGCAGAATCATTTCTTTAAGGTCATCTCAGATTTTCAGCTGGGTACAAAGAGTTAAAGACAAGCAGAGGACGTTTCTTTGGGAAAAGGTATTGTTGCTACTATGTATTTTTCTGCTAGGTATTACCACGCCAAGGCAGAACTGGGGAAGACTTAAAGAGTAATCACCCCTTTTACAAGTGTGTCCATAGCTGGGCAGAAAAACAGTGTTTCTCGTTATACAGGGCACACTTACAGCTTCTCTGTTGGCCGGTTGCCGGAAAATATCCCTATCAGAATGTTCCCAGGATAATTCTCCATCTCCTGCAGGTGTGAGAAAGCAATCAGTTGTGGGAGTGATTGTGCAATATCTTACAAATGCCTATGCGAATTCTGTACTGCTAAATGAGACCAAAGACTGAAGCAGAACTGTAGTGAGGTTACTTGTTACTAAGACATCATTAATTTTATAAAATATATTTACTATTTGTATTACAGTAGCTCCCAGAAGCTCCCATCCTGGGCAAAGAATCCATCACGGAACAAAATGACAGTCCCTGCATACATAAATTTACAGTCTGTGACATTTTCCTAATTTGCTGTGAAGTATTACCCTCAGTCAATACTAACCTACACTTCTATAAAGAACAGAAGTATGTTTTTGTGTTGCATTGTCCTTAAGGGCTTTTTCCTTTTTGTCTGCTGTCCAGCCTGCAAAATTTGTTAACTCACAATTAATTTCCCAAACATTATTGTGAACCAGTTGGGTTCTTTTTTAAAACCCAACACACTGCCACTGAAATAATTTAAAAAATAGAAGCAATGGCTGCTCTTAATGCACTACTATCTGGACACAGAGGCAGGAGGGACCCATATGTATTATCATGTATCAGACTGTATGAGAAATAGACTTAAAAGGGTTGGCGCTAATGTCAGATTTTGATTCCTGTACCTGCAGACAACAGTCATGAAATGTTCAGCTCTGCTGTTCCACAGACCAGTGCTTTTCAACCTGTAGGCTTCAGACACTACAGGGTCCACAGACTAAGATTTTCAAAGGGATCCGCACCCCTATTTGACTTTTTTAGGGGGTTGCAAATGAAAAGAAGTTGAAAACCATGGACCTAGACAAACAGCCAGGAGAAGGTATGTAGGAAGGAATCCCTGTCTCCAGGATAGGGTTCATTTAATTGATACACGTAACAAAGAAGTAAACACTAAAAGGAAGAGTTGGCTTGTATGTTAGAAGAATGTTTGTGCAATCTGAGATATTAGCTGAGGTTAGGAGCTCTGGAAGCTCTCAAGAAGGGAGGGGGGCAATGTTACCCAAACTGTGATTTCACCCCCAACTCTGCCCTTCCTCCCAAACCACCCCCCAAGCTTT